GGATTTATCCATTAATACAGATGAAGCCGTTTGGGATTCGGATAGATGAGACAGTCACAAATACTCTCCTTATGGAAGCAGAGCAGGGTGCCAGCATATATCTCACCACAGGTTATTTCAACCTCACAAAAACATATATAGACCTGATTCTAGGCACCCGGGCAAATTTCCAGATTTTACTAGCCTCACCGGAGGTGAATGGGTTTTTTGGAGCCAAAGGGGTGGCAGGTGCCATCCCTGCTGCCTACGTTTACATTGAACAGCAATTCTTCAGCAAGGTGTGTGGCCTGGGTCAGGAAGAGAGAGTCCAGTTGCAGGAATATTCAAGGAGCGGATGGACTTTCCACGCCAAAGGTGAGATATTTTAGGCAAAGGACTTTTGCTTATTCATTGAAGTGGTTGAACGTTTTTTAAATCAACGAGTTAGACTTAATTCTGTCTTAAACATCTTTCTGCATCTGCTCTGGAGAATAGTCCTTGGATAATTTTCATGCTAGGTTCTTGTCTGGAAATCCAGCTGATGAATTGATTATGAATTGTAGGTTTAAAAAGGCTAGGGAAAGGCCAGAGTCATATAATGTATTTTTGTTAATTTTTTTATCCTGCATTTATTACTTTGTAAGTAACTCAAGGCAACATACATCATACTCCTTCCTCCTCCTGGTTTCCACACAACAACAGCCTTGTGAGGCGGGGTTATATGATACATTTCCAAGATGCCTCTCTAAGGGTAGAGATTAGCAAAGGATTTCAAGTTGGACCTTCAAACCACAGGGGCAGATGTAAATACTGTTCCTGAACTAATCAGTGGCAGCAAAACCACTGTGCCATATTGTTGATAATCAGTTTATCTTGATAATTCTATATTTAGGTCAGGAATATGACATATTGGAACCAAACATTAGTGAAACTACAGCAGTATTTGTTTGTTTGTTTATTGCATTTATATACCACTGGGACTCTCAGTGTCTTACATAGAAAAAAAAGCTTAAAATCAATTCAGTAGAAAAGATGAAAACACGGCAGCAATACAACAAGACAGAGGAAGAACATTAAAAAAAAAGATGGCCACATCAAAATCAAAAGTATTTCTCCATATAAGAAAGACAGTAGAAAATAAGAACTATATAGTACTAGATTTGGGAAGAAGATGTATGGGAATTGTTAACTACATTACTGACCTTGCAATCTGCTACACTTTCTTCATTTCCCGTTACTGTGATGTGGCCAGTTGGGAAAGCGGGAAATTGTGTTACCATGTAAGAAAGTAGTGGCTGAATGGGATCTAAAGGCCAGTTGGGGCATCTGACAAATAACAATCTGGGTACTGAACTGAATTTGCCAATTTTCCAGTAACGTTTAAGAATGATGTATGCCTGAAGGGAAAAATCCTCCCATTAATGAAACAGTCCCGTCTTTCCTGTGTTCTGAGAAATGAGGCTGGGAAGTCTGAAATCAGATCCATTTTGGGAAAAAGACAATGGATTCCTGCATTTTTACTAGCTAGCCTTGATTTAAAAATTTATCTGCGAAAGATGTGGTATGCAGAATGGAATTCAAGATTAAGCAGGGTGAGATTGTGATATGCCAGGGAGAGGAAATGGATGCCCAAAACATAAGTGGAAGTTAAGTGTCCCAGCTGTGATAAAGCCACAATTTTAGTGGAAACCATAAGATCTCAGAATCTCTAAACAGTTGGAAAAATGTAGTAATTTTCATAGTCTTTATTTGAAAGCAACCAAATTTGAATTTCTCAAATTTGGATATTTTGCATGTCCTGGCAAGTTGAGGCGCCTGAAATTTCCATTCAGTCGTACATTGCCATACTATGGCATCCATTGTTTAGCCCTTGGAAGAGAAGCTGCTGCCAGAAATAATTAGTATTCCCCATGCAAAATCCACGTTCTCCCTTGCATCAGTCCACTTTTTATTGCCCTCAGGAACCTCTTGGTCCTGTATACATTAGATTAGAGTAAACTGGTCAGCCTTCTCTTGTTACCTTGAGCAAGTCCCAAAGTTCACGTCCTAACAGGCCGTTGTACTCCAGGGTTCTAGGCTTTTATTTGTCTGTGTTTGTGGCGGTTAATCATTATGGGAATGCTGATATCTTCCCAACCTCCTTCCTGCAGAGCTTCTGGGAAGAGGCTTGGAGGTTGGGTGTGGGGGATGGCTGCTGAGCAAGCTCTTTTCTCTTAAGAAAACATACTCATGCTCCCGCTCAGCCAAAATCAGGAAAAAGGGCAAGGGATGGGATTGTGTGGGTAACCAAGAGCACTGCTTATGCATTCTTTTAAGATTTCCCCTGTCAGCAACCCTTTGAAGGGGGATGGCCTCAGAATGGCTGATCTTCTGTCTTACTGGCAGTGGGCTCCGATATTGCAAACCTCTTTAGAAATAGGAGGACTAGTGGGGTGGAGGAAACAATTTTAGGAGGATGACTTTGGTTAGTTTCTCAATGCTGTGAAATGTTTTCCCCCTGATTTTTTTTTAAATTCTCCAAAGCCTTCATACTTTTGTCATTCGACTACACATGACATGGCTTTCCTCATTTTATGATTCAGTGTTTCTCCCAGGAGATGTGAAATACACACTATACTTTAAAAAGCTGTGGATTCTGCAGTAGCTTAGAATAATGTCATGGGCATTCTGTAACTGGCTTTGACTGAGCAATGGCAATGTCTACACAAAGCAGAAAAATTGCAAGTGCAGTTGCCATACAAAGTCACAATCCCATGTGTTTCTTGTTGCTGCAAACTTAAAGAAGAATTTCTCACTCTTGATACGTTCCATCTTGTGTGCTGGCCAGAGTTTTAGGTAAGATGTGTCAGCTTAAAAAAACTTCCAAGCACTGTTTAACAGTTACGACTACCAAGAATTCATCCACTTACCAAACCAAGTTGTGTAAGAGGCAGTAAATCCTCACTAGTTTGGGAAAGCACATTTAAGATTCCTGTCTTGGAATCTGGCTGTGGAGGAAGGGATGAGATTAGATGAAGAGGCTTGAGGTAAATAAAGTTGTAAGCACCTCTTAGGAGAAGGCAAGTGTGTTCTTGCAGGGAAAATGGTTTGCTCTCTGTTATGCAACTGGGGGCAAAGTATCCCTTGTGCTGAGGTAAATCTCCTCTACTGCGATTGAGTGACAATTGAGACATTCTTTATATTTCCCTCTGGAAAGGTGAGTCATGACATGAGCAAAAACAGGTTGGTAAAAGTCCCAAGATCAATCCCCTCCTACAGTAGGCAGTCAGTCTCCTGCTTTTTGGCTTCCAATTCTGCACTTGGTCCCTATGATCAAAAGCATCGTTGGGGTCTTTTCTGTCAGATTCCAGTGGACTAGCAGGCGGCCCTTTCCCTCACTTCTGCTGGGTTGCATTGTAGGTTGTGCTCAGAGCTATCAGTTAGAGCAACTGGACAACCCAGCTCCTCGTTTGCCAGGGAACCATTGATATGCAGTGAGGATAGAAGAATATGGAATATTTAGAATGATGGAAAATAATGTGTGGCTCAACTGAGTGTGTCTGGGTGACTAATTTTATTTCAAGTGTAAGAAAACAAAAGCAGAAATATAAAGGAAATTGCTAACTTGGAAGGGCTTATTTCCAACCTAGCAGTTCGAAAGCATGTAAAATGCAAGTAGAAAAATAGGAGCTACATTTGGTGGGAAGGTAACAGCGTTCCAAGCGCCTTCAGCGTTTAGTCATGCCGGCCACATGACCACAGAGACGTCTTTGGANCACACACACACACTGTATATATGAGACAGGATTGTTCAATGGTTCTGTTGTGGTTCTAAAAAATCTTTTCAGGCTTATAAGTTAAAGTAATTTTATCTTACCATTCCTTGGTGAATTAGTTACTATATTCAATTCTTAAGACTAAAGAAGAAGAAAAACTAGTGTAAATTTCTTTCAATAAAGTGAGACATGAAAAGTTACAGTCTTGTAGCTCAGCATTATGCTTGTTTTAATGTGTCAGCTATTGCCATCTTTAGGTAGAAAAACCAGTAGCTGGGCAGAGAAAGACTCTTGCTTAAAAATATCGAGCTATTTTTGCCACATGGGTGCTGCTAACTTTATTTATTTAATTTTTTCATTACATTTCAGCATAACATGTAAAAAAATAATAATCCCAAAATTATTTTTCCCCCAGTTTCTATCAAGAAGTAGGTGCTTCTAAGTTTATAAAAGTGGGACTTTTAAAGTATTTTTTAAAATGTGAGTGATTGTATTAAACTTAGTACATTAATACATTAGTACATTGTATTTAACTTAGTACATTAACTTAGTACATTAATGGCTTTCAAACATTTTTTTCTCTTTTAGAAGATAATAAACATTATTAAGAATAGAAAACTGTCAGTTTGTATATAATTAAAAGTGATGAAAGAGGATCAACCTATCCAGTATTAGCAGATTTGTCTTTCTTGACCTTCTAGTTGACAAGAGAAATACAGTATACTCACTTGCAACCAAGAAACTTATTCTCAGTCCAGTTGTGAGCAAAAAATGTTTAATATTTTTCCTGGTAAATTCAAGCTTTATTGATTCTTATAAAATTAAGTAGTGTTTCCCATAGGAGATGCCAGTAGCCCTTGACGTACAACCATTCTTTTAGCGACTGTTTAAAGTTGCAACGGACTGGAAAAAAGTGACTTACAGTTTTCCACACTTATGACTATTGCCGTATCGCCTTGGTCATGTGATTAAAATGTATTTCTGACGGATGCAGTGTCCTGAAGTCATGTGATCATCTTTTGTGACCTTCTGACAAACAAAATCACTGGGGAAGCCAGATTTACTTAGTAACTGTGTTACCAAGCAAGTGCAGTGATTCACTTAACAACTGGGGCAAGAAAAGTTGTAGAATGGGGCAAACTCACTTAGCATATGTCTTCCTTAGCATCGGAAATTTGGGACTCAATTGTCATCATGCGTCAGGGACTATCTGTACTTGGATGCTTCATTTGATAGACTACAAATCTAAATGTTTTTCTTTTTCAGGGACAGGCAAAGATGGCTAAGCAACGAATCGTTTTAGCTTCGCTATATCTTGGAACAGGCTCTTTGGAACAGGAATTAGTAAGTATCTAAAATGGGGAGGAGGGACTGAAGCCTTTTTACTAAATAGCTAGATAAGAGATGCCTTAGATTTAGTTTTATTTAGGGAGGGGGCAGGAGCTCTGGCTTCAGAACTCTAATTCAGAGATCCACTCTGTTATATTGCTGTATGCGAGTTGTTAATGTAACTGTGATAGGAGAAAAAAAATTAGATTGATTGCAGAAAATATGATTTCAACAACAGAGTTGTCAATGCCTGGAATGCTCTGCCTGACTCTGTTGTTACATCTTCTAATCCCCACAGCTTCAATCTTAAATTGTCTACGTGGACCTCACCCTATGCCTAAGAGGTCCGTAAAGGGGGCGTGCATAAGCGCACCAGCGTGCTTTCTGTCCCTGTCCTACTGTCCCCATCTATTTATATTCATTTCCTTGTTCATGTCCATGTTTATACTTATACCTGTTATCTTGTGCATGTTTGACAAGCTAAATAAACAGATAAATTAGGAAAACAGTGACATTTCCTCTTGGCAAGTTGAAGTTCTGTGTAAATCTGATATTTGATTTATTTTACGCACACTTCACTTCCCAACATTTAGTATGCTTGAAAGACAAGAAGACAGCCTTGTGCATTTCTGTATGTTTGCAATAGTGGCGAATATCTGTAGCTCGGGTGTAGGATGAGGGTGAAGGTTGACACTAACATCCCCTAAACCCCGCTGAAGATGTTACCTAGCCTGGTAACGAATCATTCAGAAATCAACCCACAAGCTCGGAGAATGAATCTTCACTCCCATTTGTGTATGTTTCCTTCTTGTAGGTGGATTGTATTGAAATAGCTTTGGAAAGCTCATTGAAGGGATGTGAGAATCCCAATTTTAGAGTGTCTATCCTGTTAGACTTCACGAGAGGATCCCGAGGTAAGCATAAATGTATTCATTGACCAACTCTTTTTACTTAGTTGGAATAGACTGATATGGTTCAGGATCTCTGATATAAGAATTTGGTTTAAATAATTCTGCAAATCAAAGAATTTGGACCTTTATCTGAAATGCTCAAAAAACAACTTCAATTCTTCTGTAGATTTCAAAATATTATCTCTTTAGTTTTATTTTGCAACCAACCATAAAGAACACAAATAATTCTTTTAATTTAAAACCCAGGCAAGATATTCCTGATACTCTTTTTTTACTTACTAAAATGTAAATCTTGCCTATACAATTCTTCCTATTTTATTGAATTGTGCAGAATAATGTTAATTTTCTTGATCTCTGCAGCCTGTTGAGGAGTCTGTATCTGTCAAATTAAGTGTTTTGAAGCATTCCCCAGCTGAGCCAAATTGATAGGAACCTTATCTCTCCCCACTTATGTACTATTAGTCTGCTGGTTTTCCTCAGCTCCTTTTACTGCCTGACATAATCAGGAATATTTTCTTTGTTGTTGTTTCTTTTCTTTTTCTTTTTGTTTCTAATACAAAACAAAACAAATCCAAAATATATCAAAATCCACGTACATTCTTCTTAATCATGTTTTATTTGCTCCTTTGAAACCTTCCTTTAATTTTGATTATTTTCATGGCCACTGGTGCCTCTTCTTTTGCAGCATTTACTATCTAATTCTCCTACTTCCTATTCAGGTCCGAATTTAGATCCATACAGATTCTGACTCCTTGCTGGTGCATCTTTTTCACCAGACTGGTCAGAGCCCCTTCCCCTCAAAGATTTTGTCCGTATGTGGATCAGCTATTGTGAATGACTACAGATTTTGGCCTCACAACTAAATAACCACCGTCTTGCTGATGACCAATTCTGTGATTTTGTTCTAAGAGATATCTCTATTCCTCTTGCATGACTTGCTGCTGATATTTCCTAAGTTTGTGCCTTGAGCAGTTCCCAGAAGACAAGACGTTCGTGACTCAGGTTTTCCACGCAGTGATCTGTGATGTGTCAAAGGAACAGTTCAGTGAATGGCATTGTGCTTCCAAAATGATAGGCTAGTAAGATAGTAATGGAAGTGTCCTGGATGGAAAAATCCAGGAGCTGCTCCTAGACGAAAGGCATGAACTTCGTAGCCTGATAGGCACAACTGCCTTAGCAAAGAAAGAGCAGGCACTACTGTCAAGTAAAACAAACTTCATTTGCAGAAGATGCTGCATGAGAGGTACACAAAACGCTTCGTACTTTTACAGTATTCTGTCTTATTTACATTTTTCTGTTTCCATGATGAAAGTTTTGCTGTTATGTGAAATATACAATAAAGAAGGACTCACAACTTGCAGCTGAAGACTGTAAAATATAGAAATGCCTTAAGGCATAGCCTCTGGAAGAGGTGAAGTTAAGATCTTCCTATTAGGTCCATCTTTGGGAAATCAGAAAAAAAAACTTAATCATATGCTCAACTATTATTCTTGATCACCAGAGATGGAAATGAGCCAAAGCATGTGTGCCTGGTTCAACCACTGTCCACTTAATTCTCTTATTATTAATCCAGAGCAACTAGAGGTGACACAAAATATCTTCTAACATGTGCTTCTAGAGAGGTAAATGGTCATTTTTTATTACTCTGCAGCTGATGAACAACTGGACATATTTAGACATTCTATACATAATAGTTTCCAGCATCTCCTGGTTGTTAAGGTTTTCTAATTCTTACAGTGGGTTGGAGCAGATATTCTGTATTACTGTGATCCCATCCAGTCTGTTTTCCTCCCCCTAAGGCCAGAAGAATTCTCGAACCATGCTGCTTCCACTCCTGAGGCGATTTCCAGATAAGGTCCGTGTCTCCCTCTTCCACACTCCTAATCTACGTGGTCTTCTCAGATATCTAATTCCTGAGCGTTTTAATGAGACCATCGGGTTGCAGCATATCAAAGTCTATCTCTTTGACGATAATGTGATCTTGAGTGGGTGAGTTCCTCTTTATAAGGAAATAGCATTGGGTTAGGAAGAATTTGGTGATTTCCAGTAAAGAAGAAAAGAAAGAAGGAAATCAATGAAGCCAGATCATAATAGGGATCGTTCTGAAAATTCTGGAATCTGTGTCATAGCTCTGTTCTGTACTTTCCCATTTTTGGACTGTTTCTAGTCTTAAGTGATTCTGAATAAGCATTCTACAATTCATTTGCCTTTAACCAAAGTTTTAATGGGGAAATGGATCAGGAAGACAATATTAGTGTTCATGTATTGATTAATCTTATGTGCCTTCCTGTCTATTGTTTTTTCAACTGTCAAATGTATGTGAGTTGAATATGATTTATATCATTTGGCATTCTTAACTGCCTCCTATTTCCCCACTCCAGAGCCAACTTAAGTGACTCTTACTTCAGCAATCGGCAAGACCGTTACGTGTTCCTGCAAGGCTCACCAGAGATTGCAGATTTCTTCACTGAGCTAGTAAATGCAGTTGGGGATGTATCTTTACAGTTACAGCAGGATGACACAGTCAAAATCATAGATGGGATGGTCCATCCTTACAAAGGTAGGATGGCCATTTATTTCTCACTTTATTTTCTACATTGCTATAAATTTAGATTTTTGGGAGGTCTTTAGCAAGGAATTCATTATGTATACAGGTAGTCCTTGACTTACAACCACCATTGAGCCCAAAATTTCTGTTGTTAAGTGAGACATTTGTTAAGTGAGTTTTGCCCCATTTTACAACCATTCTTGCCACCACTGTTAAGTAAATCACTGCAGTTACTAAGTTAATAACCTGGTTATTAAGTGAATCTGGCTTCCCCATTGACTTTGCTTGTCAATAGGTCGCAAAAGGGGATCACATGACCTTGTGACACAGCAACGGTCATAAATGTGAACTAGTTGCCAAGCATCTGAATTTTGTTCATCTGATCATGGGGATGCTGCAAAGGTTGTAACTGTGAAAAACTGTTATAAATTTGAACGATCACTAAATGAACTGTTGTAAGTCAAGCAATACATACACACACACACACACACAAACACACGTGTGTGTGTGTGTGTGTGTGTGTGTTCCAGCGTAACTTTAAAACGCCTCGAGCAATTTCAACCAGACTTTGGTACACAGATGACTGACTAGATAGATAGATGGAGAGATTTGTATCTTACCAGAATTTATTTGAGCTTTCTTGCCAATGATATAATATAAATTATATAAATTATAATTATAATATATTAATATAATATGTAGTTGAAATAATCATTATGATGTTTAACTATATCTATATAATTAATTAGAATATGTTTAAAAACTAAGCACAGTACAAAAACTGAATTAACTAAAACTAATATTAATTCAAAAATACAAAATAGACACATGAAACCCTAGGCACTTGTAATTCTAAGGAAGTAGTAGAATCCCGACAGGTCACTACGTAAAAAGAATGTATAAATTAGGCCCTATAAAATTGAGTTAGGTTATATAATTTATTAAATCAAATAGAATTAAACAGTGGTCAACATAAATGTCAGAAAGGCCTAATACCAATACCAATCCAGACTACCTTCTGTTAATGCATTCCAGATACCCGTATCCTGGGGGTTCATAAGGATCTCTGAAAGCAGAGCTAGGAAAGCACTGCCAGGCCCAGTAAACCCTGTTGATCTTCTTTTATATTCCTAAGGATGGAGTTGGAAAGTGATTTTTCTGTAAAGTGTAGGCTGCAAAATGGAGTTACGGCTCCTTTCTAATCAGCATTTAGCTTGATCCCTGGAGAGACACTTTTCCATGGAGATTCTTTTGTGACAGGAGAAGTATTCTGGTTTAGCTAGTAGGAATTTCTCTGCTAACCGTGATTACTGGGATTACAGATACAATTGCCAATTGATACACTTTAGGGCTGCAACCTTTGAGACAGGAGGAGCAACGATGGAAGGAATTTATCCACAGGTGGCATTAAATTTTATGATGATGACTAAACAGAAGGAACTCTGGATGGCAAACAAGAATAAAAACCCACAAAACAATTTAAACAGAAAACCATTTAAAACAGTGCTGAGTCCACAATAAAATTTTGCATTCATCTTTTGTAGCCAGGGGCTTTGGCTAAGCTGACTTGGTTCTGTAGATTGTGAGACTAAAGCTAAACATTCTAATGATTCCCATGCTAGTAAATAATTCGAGTGACTTTGTGGTGATTCCTGCATGTGAAGAAGCGAAGAACTCCAAGCACTGCTATATGTGTGTTTCAAAATCTGTACGTGAATGCTCGTATGGTGGATGCTATTTGTTCTCACTAAAATATTTTTTTTGTTTATGTCTGGGGAATAGTCTTTCTTTGTTACACTCTGGAAAGCTAATTTTTAATGCAGAGCATAAGTCACTGGGTGTCGCTTTCCCTTGGGAGGTATTTTCCAAGCAATACCAATTGTTGAGAGCTCTTTCCGGCAAGTCAGTTGCTGTGATTTCTAGATCAGGTAACAAAAGCAAATACTCTGGGAGTAGGTAAAGGGGGACTGGACTGCCCTTCAACGTTTGTTATGTTGATGAGCATAAACTGAATTATGCTCAAATAGGCACAGAAGAATGTACCTGACATGCACTTTAGCTGACAATTCCTTAACAGTAGTAAATTCTTGTCTCATTTCCATTTCATTTTGTTATATTTTTTTAAAATCACAGGTGCCATTTTTTTATTATTTATACATAGTAAATTATCTTCATTAAATGGAAGAGGCATGTAGCATGAATGTTACTTTAGTAGTTTTTCCAGTTTGGGGTATTTATGTAGCTTACATTTTTATTTGTTGTGTGATTTATCTGTTGTGCATCGCCCAGAGTTCCTTTTGGTGAGATGCCAAATTAGGTAGGTAGGTAGGTGATAGATAATAAGATAAGATAAGATAGATAGATAGATAGATAGATAGATAGATAGATGATGATAGATAGATAGATAGATAGATAGATAGATAGATAGATAGATAGATAGATAGATAGATAGATAGATAG